CAAATATTTTGACCAGCCAGCAGAGTGTTCTAGCATCTCGTTTGTTTGCCAAACCCGTCTTATCGGGTTACGATTTTCGTTTAAAATGGTAGTGCCTGAATTTGTACTGAGCTCGAACCCCAGAAGAGTGTAATCCAATATAAGGAAATCGTTTATTGCGTTATTGACCATAGTGTATAACATGTTCATACCATCGACGGAATTGGTCCTTTTGATCGTGCGTTCTTTTATTATTTGAACGACCCAATTGCACGTTGGGTTGCCGAATTTTTTGTCTTCTAAATGCACCGCCGGACCACAGCGGTTATTGAAAAATTTGGTTGCGCCATCTCGTTGATCCGTTAATATTTTTATCGTCTCGTATACTGCGTTTGGATTAAATTCGAAAATGCCATCCTTGTTTTTAAGGTTTCTCATGGGTTTGTACGCTTCGTCGAACCTATTAAGAATGCCGACAAAGTGGTTATATAACGTGGTTATTGTAGCTGATATCGAATTGAAAAACGACAGGGCACTTAACATGCGCAACACCAAGATTTCCGGCTCGAATATTTGTCTGAACTTATCCAGACAATCCTGTCCGTCAGAAGACAAAGGCTCCATGCCGACGCACTGGGCGCCTAGACCGTGCAAATATGTATTATATGTCAGAAAAACAGTAACGTACTGACAACTCAGGAAATGGTGGGCTTGCCGGATTTTAACGTCTACGTTTGTGGATGTTACCGTACCGCGACCGTCGGCCCCAAGCAAATCTTTCACCGTGTACTGTGTATTGTTGTCGACGATTTGCAAGGGATGCAAATCGGCCCACGTCGGAAAACTCAAAAGTTTGGACATCTTATCCACGGGGTTTGCCGCGATCGAACCGGATAACATACTGTTGCACAGCACAAGAAACGTCAAACCGTTGAAAAAGCGTCGAGCTACCATTTTTATTTATTTTGCGAAAATTTAAATCACTTGCAAATAATGGACTTTGAACGAACCGACCAGAACCGAACGATCCAGATAGTTTACTAGGTATGACGTGTGTGATGAATACTTTTTGCACGTCAACATCAAAAGTCCACAGACCGACGGTATTTACAAAAAAGAAAACCGTACACGGTGTACAATGTCAACAGCCACATTTTCTGAGTAAATACTTTTCAACGTTTTTTTGCCAACAACATGTAGTAAATTTATTTTTTTGCCGTCCGACACCACAATGATTTACCTACAAAGCGATTTAAGAATATATATATATATTTTTTTTTAGGTATGTAAGACATACCTAAAAGACGGTATGTCAGACATACCTAGACATAGGTATGTTTTGGATATCGCATTTAATTAGAGCTTTCAACAGAATTCGTGTACGATTTAGGATCCGGCATTGTTTATATTATTTGGAGACACTGTTGCAATACAAATGGTCTTTATTAGAGTTATCAAATTAGGCTGCATATAATTTATCTGAGATATCAATAAAAATCGAATTACAGTAAAAAATCTTGTTAGCTATTTCCTACGAAAAAAGTTGTATCGATTTTTTTGTATTAAATAAAATTCTGAAGTTTTTCGACACAGCGTTCGATAATTAACCGATTTACCGATTATACTTAGCCACGTCCTTGAAATATTTAAAATCTAAAACCTGATGAGGTATTTAAAAAAAAAATAAATGGAATTTAAAAGAAATAGTTGCAAATGAAGAGGTATTAGACAGAATAATAGTTATCGCAAACTATTCAATCTACAAGTGATAAGGTGATAAGGTATTATTATAAATACAAAATATAATTTCGAAAGAAACATCAGATGAGGTAGACCAAGTGAAACGAAATAAATGACAAAAATCATGATGGACATGCAAATGCAAAGTATAATTGGCGTGTTAACTGTGATATTTAGTATAGATAATAGAAAGTTGTGCTTAGCTATAGTTTTTTTACATGTGGTAATATAATATAATACATATAAGTATATTATACTTACCTACCTTCTACCTAGTTTTCAACTCGTGAAAATCGTACCTTAAAAAAAAAAATCATTGAGGAGGGGAGGGGGTCAGATCGACCAGAAATACTTTCTTCAGAAATGTATTAGGAATGTTAAAAATGAGAGATTTTATGTTTTCTCTCTCATAAACGAACAAAATCTTATTTCATTTTAAAATATGTACGTTGAAGGGAACCTTTACGGATTTGTTCACGAAAAGTGTATAATAGGAAATTGTTTAGGCTTCGTGTGTCTTTCCCCCAACTACACTCCAATACCGGACCATTTTTTAATGCATTTTTACATAAAGTGTTAAAAATGAGCGATAGCTACTCTGTGCTAAAAACCAAGAACTCTGATATGCCTATCAGTGTAGGCTACCATCAATACTCTATATGTTTTCATTGTTAATAACTCTTATCTAAGCGGGAAAAAAACAATAATTAAAAATATAATTCAGCATACAGCTGAAGCGTTGTATACTTGTATGATGTTAGCAAAAATCATAATACTTTTTATACTTTTCAGATATAATATGCACTATGAAAAACGAATTTCTAGTACTATAAAATATCATAATAGTATTTAGAGGTATACAAAATTGTATTACTATATAGTTATATCCCCGTTATTACAACAACATCATTTAAACCGCTTTAACATCACAGTCATTAAAATTAATGTCTTATGAATAAACGTTTTAGTTTATTTTACAAAATAATATATTTTATACGACTTTAGGTACCATTGAAAATACTTTATTTATTCGACTTCAAAAGCAATTAGACACCTAACAATTGCCATTAAAGGTAAAATGAATTCAGACAAGAAAGTAAAATTAGTCTCAAGATAGGTCTAACTTTTGTGAAAAACAATCTGTAGTCAATTTTTTTTTAACCCAAAAAGTTACTCAACCACTATAAATGCAGGCTTTGAAGACTATTATGGGTTAGCAAATTTAAAATTTAATATACAACTAAGAGTAAGTAATTAGAGTATTATCACAAAATAAGTAAACCAATAAAAAGAAAACTATAAGTATAAACCAGCATACTTTAATCCCGGTACAGTTAGAAGTAAACAAAGGCGAGTCGAAGCAATAATTACAAAATCTGAGAAGGGATTTTATCACAGTCAAACGCTTTGATGCGAAATTGCGAATTTTTATTTTTGTAAATTTCAAGAGTTCAAAAAAAGTCAAATCTGTCAAATATCATTAAAAAAAATGACCTAAACCCGATTTGTGTACAATTTAATAATAATTATTTTTTTTATTTTGTTTTCATGTATTTCTTCGACACCCATTTGGTTATTATAATATAATATATTTGGATATGTGCAATCGCAAACGTTTGAAGTTTTAATAGATCTATTTAGTGTAAATGTACGTCGCGTCGTAGGTATGAGAACGCGTAGAAAAAGTATTATATGTGTAAAAAGACAGCATGCAAAAATTGCATAAAAGGTACATAGTTATAAGTATTATGCGCATTGGTTAAAAGTTTTTTTTTTAAATTAAATATAATATTTTGTTTTGTGAACACTCAAACGGTAAAGCAGTAGAAATTTTTTTTTTTTAACATCTGTGTGCACAAATTCCATAGTAGTATGGCCGATTCGAGAATACCGACAGCTATTGTGGTTTATTGTGACCTTCGATTTTTTTTTTTTAAGTTAAACTGCGAAAAAGAAAAACAACAATTGTAGGCAATGATTTTATACATAGCAAATTCTAAAAAAACAGCTATTTCGAATAAATAACTAAGATTCGTACAATATTTATATGAAATTGGATTGAAATATTTGTATGTAAAAATACCTATACAATAATGGGTTATTTAGCCAGATCGGTGGGCTTTGATCAAAATAATATCAAATACAGAGGAGGGGGACTTTTCTAACAGAAAAAAAAATGAAAAAGATTTGCATTAAGCGTCAAAATTAAGTGTTTCTTCTTCTATTTTTATTTTCAACAAACCAGTATAAATTGTAGCTCTTTAAGACACATAAATAAATTATCATTCAATCGGTCGAGTAGTTTTTGGGGTAATATATTCATTAGAAAAACCACCGAAAAAAATGGAAAACGGTCTCAGTGCCGTATGTATAACATTTATAATTTTACTATGATACTATAAATTACCTATTCATGTCTTATGAAACTTTAAAACTTATTATTTTTTTTTAGTTTCAAGACGGAGCTGATCGTCGTTTTATACTATAATAGATTTTCCAAAACTACTTGTACAATTAGTGCAAAAGTTTGAATACTGTGTGCGTCGTTTTAGATTTAATAATGTTAAGCAAAACGACATTAACTTAGTAATACTGTAGATATCATCGTTAGGTGTATTGTAGTGTTTGGCAAAATCGTTACCGAGATAATAAATTCGAATAACGAATAAAATATTAAAAGCCAGTAATGTGGGGTCGAGGCATAGAAGGGACGGGGGATCGCAGGTCTGCAGGAATTGTTATAACTGAAAGAGATAAAATCACTTTTAAATAAACCCTTCGATGCGAATTTGTGGATAGTAGGTCCAAAGTCCAAACACAATAAAAAAATGTATTACAGGGAAGGGTGCAGTAGTAGTAAGTCAGTAAGTAAGAGATGTCCAGTGTTCACAGATAAAAAAAACAAATATCGATAGAAGGTACATTGTACCTAATGGAAATTATGTACTTAAGAATTAATTTTTAGTAATACGATTTGGATACGATTAGGGTTGATCGTCTGTCAATAAAAATGTACTACAATGGTTGTCATGGATAATTTTTTTTTATATCGTAAATAAAAATTAAAAAAAAAAAACCAACTATAAAATTGTAATTGTTTTCCTAGGAAATGAGTGTGGTGCATTAAACGGATTTTTAGTATGTACACTGGTTTTTTTGTGCTGTTCAGGAACTAGATGGTTTCCAAGGCCTAGAATAAGTGATTATAATAATTTTGAAATGAAAAAATAATTTTTACGGTATTACATTATTTATTTAATTTTTTTTTTTAAATACACAAACACCAACTTAAAAATCGTTAAAATCATTAAACTAAAAGTTATTTGTAAAATTAAAGATGCATATAAGAATCTTAACACATACAGTTTAAAACTGTTTCCCATAATTAAAGCACACTCAAAATATATTCATATGTAAACCATTTAATGTAATTTTTACAATACAGCAAAAACACTTAAATTTGTGATCATTCCTTTGACTCTTCAGAATCTGGCGACATTATCGCCAAGAAGAACTCAGCAATGTCAAAATGTTTGTCGCCTGAAAAGTACAATAAATTTAGTTAAGAATTTTTATTTTGTTTTGTCGCTAGATCTACTTCAACATTTTGGCCACTATAATATCATTTATTGTGGAAAAATCAGCAATCTCCCGATACTTTATATTGTTGTAAAAATACTCCTTTCACGTCGCGTCGAAATCATAAAAATATCCATATAGAAAAAATGTATTTACCGTATCCCTGAAATATTAACCCTAAGAAGCTAACTTTTCCTCTTTTTTTTTATACAGTTTTTGTATTTGATATTTTTTTACCGTGGAAAATAAAAGAATGATTTACCATCGTTTTGTGTAGATATTATCATGACGGTTTCTCGAGATTTAATTTACTACTGCCAATATTGTAGTACCAAGTAAAACACAAGTAGAACCGCATAGAACGCAATAATATGATAGTTATTTAAAAATAACAAGCCGATTTCGTCAACTCTATAATTTGTAATATTACCATTGGTATCGTGTGCTCTAAGTAGAGAGTTGAAGTCGGTAGTTGAAGCCTGGTCCTTGGAATCAAGTGATAAAGTAATTTTCTCAAGTTCGGATTCATCGAGTTTACCGTTTTTGTCTTCGTCGGCCTCAGCGAATTGCGATACAATGTCCCTAACTGTACGGATAGGTATAGATAAATAGTCGGTCCCCACCTGAAATATCAACAAAGCAATTAATATAATAGGCACCTCTTCAGATGCACTTCAGGACATTGCCTCCCCGTCATTAATAATTTCAGTGTGACAACAATCAACATGGTTTGTATGAATAAAATATACTGTATGTGCTGTGATGCTATTGAGTTCACCGGATTTTTATAGTGAAATAAAAGAGCATAACATCTACGGACATTTTTCTGGTGGATCCGATTATTTTTTTTTATGTTTACATTTTTAAAGTTTAAGTTTTTTTCTTATTTTCTAAAAAAATATTACAATTTAATCGAATTCGTCGAAACGTTAGTTTTGATTCGCTCGAAACAGCTATATTAATGTAAAAAAAATATGTAATGTTTTTCAATAAAAATTACTGTGATACCTGACAACAATAAAACTATAACACACAATCCCCATTGCTGTACTAAATGATGTGTACACTATGGTGAGTTTACCAAAAGTGTCCTACACTAAATTCGTTTAATAGTTGAGTGTGCGCCATGTAAAAGCTTATAAAAAAGGCAAACATAATAAAAATGTTAATATTACCTTGTCCTTTTTGGTGTATTCTGCTGAAACAACCAGCAGCTCTTGTACCTCCAAAGCAACTGGACCTTTAATAAAAATATTGAATACATTTTATCAAGACATAAATAATTATAGAATAAGAGTTGCAAAAAGTTTTTAAATAAAAAAAAAATAGAATAAATCTTAGTTAAATTACAGTTATTTTGTAAACAACCGATAACAGATATCGAACGATACATCATTTAAACATTTATTCATTTTATTTTATAGATGGCAAATTTTCTCGATTAATTTAAAAATAAATAAATCGCATAATTTTAAGCATAATATCGAGAAAATATATTTTGAAGCAAACAACTATTGTTGATTAATTTGTTTATAAAAAAATAAAATATAATTAAGTAAAAGGTAATTTTTTACTTCTTGCTTCGTATAGATAAAAAGTTATTTTGCCAAACTTCATAAAACGATATTAATAACAAACGAGATAATATCAACAATAAATTCTTACGAATGGGAGTAAAAACCAAATGGCCTTTGTAGTCTTCTTTAAGTATAGATAACTTTAGGAAAAAGGCTGTTATTGCTTCAGGATTAATGTGATTGCCTATTTGGTTATCTTTTAACTTGACCAGTTCATCAACCTGTGTCTTGTCTAGAACTCCGTCCTAAGTAAAAGTATTAAAATCATGTGAGTAAATTATACGGAAGTATATTGTATTACATACAATATACATTTTTATTAGATGTGTTTAAGCGCCACGGCTGGCAAAATCATAGTATAGGTGTACTTCGTCAAGACTTTAACGAAACCATAAATACTTACTTTTGGTTTTACATTAAAATAGGCTCTCACCAACTCCGCGGCGTTAATTGTTTTGTAATCTAAAAATCATTAACCTTAGTAATATAACTGACTGCTTAGCTAACTCAATAATACCTGTGCTAAATTCGTGTGCTAAATCATTTTTGAACTTTTCTCCGAGACTTAAAGCGGTAATGAGATCTTCTAATTCATCGTGGTCAATTAGACCATCGTGTTTACCCTTTTTGTCAAATTCTCTGAACACTGTCACGATAATTTTTACTTCGTAGGATGATACATTATTTTCCTATGAAAAAAATGTGTATAGTCACAAGAAAATCAGATTAATTTGAAATTTGTCCATATGTTTTTTATTCGTTATTACCTTCCAGCAGTCAGTTTTCTTATCGTTATCGGCCAAAAATATCAAAAGATCTTGTGCTTTACGAGCGTCAGACACATCTATAGTAAAAAATAAAATAGAAAAAAAAATATTCTAAACAATTTTCAATCGAGCTATCAAAGACGAGCGCGGTAAATTGAAAAATCTTTAAATACCTACTGAAATGACGGATATTATATTATTGTACAGACAGCAAATTTGTTTCTAAGTGGGAGGTGGGGTAACATTTGATTACAACCGAAAAGTTTAAAAGACGTTTTATTACCTGTGTTGTATGTAAAACCTGACTTGTCTTTCATGCCAAGTTCTTCTATAACGTCCAAGATAGCTTCTCTGGAAACATGGTTTGTCAATGATTCGTGGTCTTTGAATAAAATAACAATCCTACCGACTTGCCGCTCATTAAGTCCGGCACTCTATAAAATATCATAGGTACAATAAAAATAATAATACATACTGTTAACTGAAGTAATGTTTTTTATTAAGTACTTTTACCTGTGTCACGGTCACGAAGTACAACATGCAAAGAATAACGGCGCTTTTGAAATGCATAATGGTTGTTTTTTTTTATCAAACACTTTGTTGAACCAGAAGTAAGTCTTCGATACCAAAGTCGGATGAACAATGAAATACGATTCGACTCGGGGTGTATTTTATGTGGTGCGATTGATAAAAACAACATAAGTTTAGAAATGGTCAATATTGGTAGATAGTGGTTTTTCGTTTCATTTTATTTACATAATGCACACTTAAAGAGTGGTTTTTGACCCAATTTTACAGTTGTAAACACCGTGTAACCCGGAAAAAACACTGCCTATTTACCTATGCGAAATAAAATAACAATATATATTTATTTGCTTTACATTCGCACAATAACAAAAACAATATAGCCATAATGAATGTTATTAAATCTTCATATAACACGTATTGTTATTCGTTTAAATAAAAAATAATAATTTGCATACGCTATACTTTGCGTTTACATATTTTATTCAAGGGACGAGAAAGTCTTTCTAAAATATGAACAGTCGCCAAACTTGTCTACACAACAAACAAGGTTTCTTAAGGCCTAAGCAGTGTGTACACTGCTCTGGGTAAATTTTCCGGGTCTCCGTCTTTAAATATCCGATAATAAATCTATTGACTGTATGTTCTAAGAAAATAGAACCGGGATGATTTTTGGTCATCACGCCTAACGGTTTTCCTTATTTTACATATTTTTTCCCCGCGTCTTCTTATAAACAGTTATTGTTTTAAAAGCAAAAGACAAATAAACAACACGACTCGTGTGTTTTGAATACGTTTCCGCATTAGAAAACAAACAACACATCTAACCGTGTTTTTCCTTATTTGAACTAATTATTTTTAAAGCACGAGACAAATGAATAACACAACTTTTGCATTATGATTACGTTTCCGCGTTAGAAGACGAGTAAAGTCTTATTTAGAAAATAATACATAATATTTCCAAAAAGTCTTAAATGAATATAAAAAAAAAAAGGCTGCACAGCATATTAGGATGGTGTCTAACAATAATTTTTGTCGTTGTTTGCCATTTATAAAATATAATTAACAAATTCATGGAAATATTTTGCAATTTATTAACGTTAATGACTTTTGATTCACTTTCACATCACAAATTCTATATTTAACCTATAAAAAATAGTCGATGCTTCAGTTTAAATATGGTTTTTGATACCAAAATATGCTTTACAAACATTTTTAAAACATCAGTAAAAATATTTTTGAAATAATGTATATGGTTAGAAATACTGAGTCATTTACAAATTCGATTGTATTAGGTTTGGGGGGGGGGGGTAATTATTAAATGTTAAACCAGCCTAATACAAAAAATACATTTTTAAGCACATTATTGATGATGATTTTGTATATTATGATTTAAGATCGAATTTTCTAAAATACGGTTTTACAAATATACATGATACAGTTATTTTATAAATTCTTAGAAACATTGAACAAAAAAATTAACTGTTTGATGGATCAATCCTTTTCATTTGGAGTTTTTGTTTGTAAAAGTTGAATTTCCAGTCAATGTAAAATATGATAAGCAACAATTGACAGTTTATGTGAAATGTTTAATTTACCACGCCCAATGTATAACAGGCATTAAATATTTAACTACTTTAAGTATTGTAAATACTTTAATCATTTTTATAAATAACGACAAATTGTTACATCTCATTAAAGCAGGGCTATTTTGTTTTTTTTTGTCAAAATTAATTTACTAAGTATTAAATTTTGGCAGATTCGTGTTGAATACTTTCCGGGTTACTATGATTACGGTATCTCGGCAATATTTGTTTGTTGTTTTTCGCTTATTTTGCTCGGTCTGTGGGATCAGCTGTTGGTTTCTAGGTCAATGATGTATTTTTAATCCGGCCGGCTACAATAGTGCGGGGCGCATGGGATTTTACCGGCTGCTTGTTCGTGAGGTATGTGGTGAGATAGTGAGGTGAGGTGGTGGTGTGGTTGTCAACCGGTAACCCAGAAAAACACTGCATATTTACTTGTGTGAAATAAAATAATGTATTTTTATTTTCCATACATTTGCACAAAAACAATATAGCAAACGATGAATGCTATTAAACCTTTATATAATATTATAATTCGTTTAAATAAAAAATAATAGTTTTCATGCACTGCAGGGTGATTCATTAAGGACAAGACACTCCTTTTCTCGGAATATATTAATATTTTGAAAATTTTTATCACCAATCCTTGTTGGCCAAAAAGGGAGATTTTTGGTTTTTTTAAATGGTACCATATGTTTTTAATTACATAAATTTGTAGAAAAAAATAAAAAATATTTTAGCGTTTGAATTTTGAACTTCCATTTATTTGTTCATTAAAATTAATTGGTACAAAATTAATTTATTTGGTAAGTGCGTTAGGGTTTAATAGGTAGGTAATTCAATACAATACGAATTCAACTAGCGATTTAAATTTATGTTGAATGCTTTTTTCCGAAAACATTTCATCATTTTAAAACCAATGTTATGCAAGAGTTATCAACGGCTTAATGGTTTTGAGAATATCAATTACTATGGAAATGCATTTTCAATTGGACTTAAGACCTTATAATTATATATCAAGGAGTAATTTATAAATATAAAGCATTAATTTCGAATAATTATTGATACCTGAATTTGTGTATGTGAGTTAATTATAGTCAATATATCTATTTAAATTATTTTTAAATTATGAGTAATTAATAATTATAGTATGCATTATTTATATTACTACATAGTACTTACAAGTAAACACTTCTTGATAATACCAATATGTTTTTAATTTTACTTAAAAATCTATGTAAGTGATTTGATTAAATTTATCTAAGGTAGTTCTAGGGTGCCTGCTTTCAGTTTTGTTATTTCTAATGACCTTACCAAAATTTTGTATCTCTAACATACATTACGGAAATTTGATCATAAAGTTTTAGCTATAAATGAAAACAGGTATTGGATATCATACAATTATTTTCTCTTTAAAACGTTGTATTGCTATTCATTTGTATTTAATGAATTCAGTAAATAAAATAAATAGTTTTTTAGAAATGTTGAAAAAAAAAATTAAAATCAGTAATATAAAAGCAACATTTAAATCCCATATAGATAAAACTTTATTTCATCATAAACCATTATGAATTAGTTTCATAATGGTAATTTATTAATTTCATTAAAGCTTTTGTCCAAAATTGTGGTGTACAAGTGTAATTGTTCAAAGATTCAAAAAATTATTTTAAAAAAAAACTAAAACTTTAATAAAAATATCAATACTTTTTGAGTAACGAAACAGTTACTACCTTCGAGTTAGATATAATACAATCAAAGAAACTAGATACTTCACACATATTTTCAATTGTTACCGCCAACAGTAACCGCTGTTTGTTGTCGAACATAATAAAGTATTATTTCTAATTGTTTTACCAGAAATAATGTATCAAGTTACCGAGTTAGAATATCTTTGTATGGCAATCGCCTCCATGGCCGAATTAAATTTGTCACTATACAATCTGTATTCTTTGGTGCCTGAAAATCACCACGTATTATAGCCAAAGAAAGAACTATTTGGGTTAATTGACGCGAGGTAAAATATTATTTTACTTTAGAATCATTAATGTCAATTAAAACATATTATAATATTTAGATTTAAGTGATAATATAAATTGTATCTCGATTACCATCATTCTCATTAACATGTTCTTTTCCAAATCTTTCGAAGACTGAATGACGTGCGTCTTTCTCATAAGGTTCAAAATAGTCTGTCAAGTCTTCCAAGACAATATATTGTACATCGTCTTTTATCTTGTCGAATAGTTCCTATAAATAATAGGTAATAAATTAGATTAGCGAACTAGTCAAGACACCCGAGTGGGAGTAACCTCAAGTCATGTAAATAGTGTAAATTAGATTAATTTATAATTAAACAAAAAACATTTTTAGAGTCAATCCATTTATAATCAACAAGCTGTCTGACCTCGTTTTTTACCCCAGAGCTCTAAGATGACCTTAACTGGTTGACTCAGTCTGGTCCTCCAGGTTGGAGATGAAGCGCAGGGCAACCCTGCCTTGTAAAAAACGGAATGTACAGGTACCAATAAATTTGCCTCGGATAAGTGAACATAATGGATAAAAGACAGGAAATTTGCAAAATGCTTTACACATTAAAATATGTAACATTCGCCCATTTCACAAGACAGGAGCTGCACAGGTTGTGGTAGGTACCCAAAACTGTGATGATTTAAATGCGAGTACTGAGAAAGAAGCCACTTTGAGACCAGTAATAGAGAACGACCGTTTACATAACAAAAGTAATGATAATAATTGGCTATGACTTATTGATTTAGCAAAGGAAGAAAGAAGACTTGCAGTGTTTGAGCGAAAAGTTCTAAGAAGAATTTATGGACCATGTATCGACTCTGACACTGAGGAATGGAGGACACGTCACAATGAGAAACTGAAGAACTTTTTCCGAAGACCAGTCATTTTTGAAAAAATTTCAAAAATAGTATTAATGTGAGCTGGTCATGGGCTGGTGGTGGAGGAAAGAGGGCTTATTAATTAAGCAAGGTGCGATTATTAAAATACCGTTAGGTAGGCCGCGCTTACGATGGGAAAACCGTGTCAAAAAAAAAAATGTTAAAGCAGTGAAACCGAGTAAACAATGAAGAGAAGTTGCAAAGGATATGATACCAAAACCCTCAAGAAGAACAATAAAGGAAATAATAGTTTTATTACTATAAGAAAATATTAGTATTAAAGAATAATATCAATAATTATGAATGTAGGTGTGACCAATGTGTGACAAAAAAAGTTCAAATTTCAAAGTTTATTAAATTATAAGCTCAAATTTTTTTTTTCTAATGAAAGCTGGCATTTTCTTTAAAACTTGTTATCGTAACAAAAACATAAATCGTGATATTTCTATGCAATTTTAAAAAAGAAATATGATTTGTTATTCATGCCATTTAATTAACACTAGTTTTACATGACCATTGTACATTTGAACCGGTCGAACGCATTGTTTTATCCAATCCAAATATCATTATTGGCTTTGTACAGACGATAAAAAAAAAATAAACAAAAATTTAAGAACCAGTCCTCATTGAGCGTTTTATGAATTTATTAAAAAAATACTCTGACATTAAATCAATAATGAAATTCATATGTACATTTATATCATCATCATCATAAAATTATAAATATAATTACCTCATTGGTGAGAGGTCTTTCTGTTACACAACAACTTGTTAATGTTATAAAAACAATGTTCACGAAATTCATATTTATTTTTCGAACTGTTAAATGATCGTTCGGGTAAAAAACTTTTAACTAAATGATATTGTGTTATATATAAGTAAATGTATTATGAAAAAAAGCTTTTATTCCGATTGTTTTGATTTGTAACAAAAAAAAAATGCAGTAAAGTTGAAATAATCAAAATTCCATATTGTCAAATTAAGCTGAATAATACGCGATTTTTGAATCGTTATTTTTTTTCTCCTACACGATATACAAATCGCATTGCAATAGCTGAGATTTGTTTGAATGTTTGTTTTTCGGTGACAGTCGATCATTTGTATCAGTTTCATTCGCTTCGTTGTTTATTTAATTTCCACCAAAACAAATGTACATTTTAAGTTTCCCACCCGTTATTTATAATCTTCCTCTTTTTAATATTCACTGTTGTTGTTTTCAGCTGTCTCCTTATTCTCTTCCAATTTTACCGTGTTTTTGTAATTTTATTTTTCTCTCATTGCCATTGATCACTTGAATTTTCTCTTCTTCCCTTCTCGGCAATTACAAAACTATATGTTTTCATTATTTTTTTTTGTTATAGCCTCACTATAGATCTACCTTTAGCTGTATTTGTACACTTTAAGTACCAAAACTACAATCGAATATGAGAAATAAAGGAATCCACCATTGTTCCACATTTGATAATCAATATTTTTTTGTCAATTACCATATTTTATTGATTTTTTTAAATCAAGAAAGTAAAAATAATAATTACTATTATTCCAAATTATTGCATTTCAACTGCGGTGTAATCAATTTTAAATGAAGTGTTTCTATTGTACTGAATTTATTGGATTAATAAAATAATACAATTTTGAAACTATTTTAAAACCATAAAATATAGTTTACGGTTAAAAATTATATATCAATAAGAATATGACATTACCTATTACTGAACATTGTAAATGTAAACTATTATTCCAAATATTTTAACATGTGATATTACCTATAACTAATATACTAAAACAAAATAGCAACTGAACTTGTAAATTTCAGTCATATTACTTATTTGCTTTACTTTCAATATTTAAAAAAAACAACGTTGACTTCATATTTAAAACCACTGTTCGAATAAATGGTCGAAAACAACTCGTTTCATTTCAAACGTACTGTTCCTAAGTATACTTTAAGTTTTGCAAAAATATTTGAGTTTTTCAAAATATTTTCAATTCATTATTTCAGTTGAAAAAAGGTAAAATTTGCAATTTTTTATATTGAAATAATTAATTAACTGAAAATAATTTTAAAATTGTGCCAAGGCCGATGAATTGAAAATATTTTGAAGAACTCAAATATTTTTGCAAAACTTAAATCGTTGTATTCTTAAGGACAGTACCTACGTTTGAAGTAGAAACATGTGTTTTTGCACAAAAATGTATCCTATAGGCGTTATAAAAGTTGAAAAAAAAATTATCAAAATAGATAGGTACTTCTTTCCTATGGTATATTAAAGCTAAGACAAATATCTATCTTCTTATTATTAGTGTGTAGCATTTTGTTGTTTTCCTATTCATAACAAGCTCTATAAATAGTTTCGTTTTTTTTCATATTAATTACCATACTAACTTGATTTGTTTAAATCAAGAAAGTAAAAATAATAATTACTATTATTATTTGAATAATAGATAAGTGCATACCATCATTTTTGAATTTCAACCGCAGCGTTTGATCTATTTAAAGTTATAAAAAAGTAAACCGTGTACAATTTGAAATGAAGTGTTTTTATTGTACTAATTTCAGTGGATTAATAAAATTATACAGTGAATTAATTTGGAAATGATTATATAACCATAAAATATAGCTTAATATTATATATTATTAGATAATAATATGACTTATTGTTGACTATTGTAGATTGTTAACTATTATTACAAATATTTAAACGCAAATGCCTTACTATTCATTTTTTGATAAAATAACGTTGATTGTATCTTTAAAATGATAATAAACTGGGGCTTTTTTATGTTCTTCTTTGTCAGAATCTTCATCTCCAGAATCATCACCGTCGGACTCATTTTCAAATGAGGTGGTGAACGATAATTTCCGGAACGTTGTATTCGCTAATAGGCTGAAAATAATGATTAAATGAAATAAAATATGCAACGTTAATAGATAATTACCTAAAGACAATACCATGATGATTAATATGTGCCTATACTAAGTATGATATTTTAAATTTGGTTATAAAGCTATAGGTAACTAATATAGCTAATATAGTTTGTTTTTATAATATTGTTTGATAGAGAAATAGTGTAAAAAACATGTAAAGATTTTCAGTTGCATACACATTTTTTAATTGTAATTTATGTTATAAAAGTATAAAAAATTGACTCTTGGCAATCACTAATATAATAGCACTATAATATCTTCAACGCGTTGACAGATATAAAATATTGATCAGTCACTCTGTTATTTGAAAATAATATTATATAGTATAATTAAGTTATCCTAGAATTTATACTATCGAATGCGATCTAAAGTTCACATTAAAAAAACATTTTTTTACCAAATATCTTTGTAGATGTGACGTTCTTTATAAGTGTTAAATTTAATTTTATAGAAATGTAAGATTTATTTTTGATTTTTAGCTCATAACATTTCTTTGGTATCGTTACAATTAACATATTAATATTTGTTTGGTTGTTGGTTTTTTTTTTACCTATTTTCTTCTTCTTCGTCTTGGTCACATAATTCCATAGCAACCATTGTATTTCCGTCTGTAAAATGAACTTGTCGTAATGCATACGGGGCGTCACGATGAATGTTTTCCGGCGTAAAGAACAAGAGCATATCGTACAATTTGTCCACGTCAGCATCCAAATTAGAATCTTCATTTTCATCCAAGTCCTTCGTGAATTTGACGAATTCTTCACCGAGTTCTTCTGCTAAAGATTCATATGCCTTACCGTATTTATTATGGTGAGCCACGCACGTTTTTGCCAACTTCTCTTCGGTAGTTGTAAACGCATTAACTAGAATATAGACAATCTCGTACATGTCCACGACGGAAGGCGCGATGGCCGTCCCAAGAGGATTCAAATACGAATTAAACGCGCTTACATTAATGCGGTAATCAATATCTACGGCCGCTACGTTTCGTATGAAATTTTGCCACGCAGGATCCGCTTGTAATATTTTGGTCTCCCCCGATTTGCCCATTCCCCTGAGTTCGATTTTGTTCTTTTCCGATTTTATATTGAAATTCAAACGGTGTTCGCCGTAGACGTTATCGCAGCACACGGCGTTACCGGACGTCGCTGTCGGGTTGTTTGTGTCGACTAAACGTTTCAAGTGAGTCATTAAGTCGTTGATAACTAACAATGTAAACAAGTTGGTTTTCGTCAATCCGGTACAGGCGATGGCGTCTTTGATCAATCCGCGTGCAACGTCCAAACGTACCTCGTCATTCCTATCTCCGTCTTCGTTGTACTTCTGCAACGTGGCGAGCACGTTGAATTGTGTTATGTCGCTGTCGTCTTCAATGCCGATGTAAGTGTACAGAGCTCGATGTTTGTCCACGTCCAATAAAATATTTCTATTTAAAATATAACCCCAACGGTTGCCGTCGGATGTTGTTTCCGTGTCGTTTAATATTTTTGTGATTTCTTCCGGTGTAAATTTATGCGCCGAGGGTATAATTACCGAGCTGTAGGTTTTGGACACGAAGATTAAAAATAAAAAAATTAAATACGTGTTCATTTTTCTACACGACAAAATATTACATATAATGTTCTACAAAACGACAAGACTTGTATTGCGATACATTGTTTTTTTTTTTTTTTTCTTCCACAAAATTTACAAATGTTTTTATTCTATTTGCCATTGGCAAACGCTTATGTTATCTGTCGACACGTGCATAATGTTGTTCTTGTGGTGTAATTAGTGTTGTTGTGGCCAACAAAGTACAAACCGATTAGCGTCCCGTTAACACGCGGCAAAGAGTACATCTGTTTTTTAGCTTCGATAGCTATACGCTATTGGCTTAACAATGACGTGAGCTTTTTATGCACCTACACTGTGACTTGTTTAATACTGGACCAATAATTCTTTCGAGTAGCAACTCTAAATTGTATTTATTTGGCACTGTGGGGGGTAAAAATTTGAAAATGTTCACTTCTTCGCAGTCAACATTTGGAAAAACTAAAAAAAAATCATATCAGTTTTAGTTTCACCTTTCCCTGGCTATAATTTCGAGAAAAAGGGTCACATCGAGTTGAAATTTATTAGAAATATTTACTCGGTATGCCCTTATACGTCAATAGTATACAATTTTAATTATACCCATTTCCAACCCCCCAGGGGGGATGCGAGAATTTTTGTGTTTTTTTTTTACCTATAATTTTAGTTGAAGATTTGTCAGGAATTAGAATTCATATGTATCATAATAAACTAAGAAAAAAAATTTGCACTAGTTTTTTTTTATTTGCCGGAAACTGTTTAAACTTTGTTAAAATCTTAAAAAAAAATTATCAAATCATGACAATATTTTTATGGATATCTTTTTAGAGTGATTCTAGTAAGTTTTGAGTGCTAAAGTATACATTTTATCTCCAATCATTAACCGACGATATTAAGTATAATACAATTAGTTACACAAGGTTACCTTATGCGCAGTTCAAGTAGGCAATCTAAACAATTATGTGTATTTCCATTGGATTTCTCAATCTATGTACATTAATAAACTTTTGATTTAAGTGTGTATTCAGTTTCAATTTCTAAATCTTAAATAATAGACATTATTATTATTATTTTTTTTTTAATTGGAGTTGTGTTTGGTTTTTTTTTTTTTTTTGAGAGAGGATGGGGCTGTTAGTTTTTGCGGACTCAGGCCTTATTGAATCTAATATTTTTCAACTGATCGATACAACACATTGGCGCTCAATATGCTTATATAATGACTAATTTTCTAATAAGGGACTAAAAGCGACTAGTTTCCAACCCTGTATTTGTTTTCAATTGACGCCTCATGTTTGTTTTAAAGGCAGTTTTTCATAGAATATTTTTTAAACACTAAAACAATATAATATACCGTTAACACACTAGGTTAGATTTTTTTTTATTATTATTGTAAGTGGGGTAGAAGCACACACACTGTCGACTGTTGTAAAGTATTAACAATAATCTTAGGCCGCTTAATAACTACTAGTTCCTCAACTACAAAACAAATTGCTGTCACACACACATTTTTATATTATACATGAAAAAATGCTATATAATATTGAGTAAAAAACAAAAACATTTAAACAGATGACAGATCAAATTATTATAACTGACATAATTACATTTAGGTATGATAAATTAAAAACATAAAAATGTACAACACAAAATATCGATAAACAAATCTGGTTTAGCTACAAGTGACATTTTCAATTTTTGTTTTTTTAGATACTATTTTCAAATTTGACTGGTAATACTAAGTTTATGAGTTGGAGCCTTAAAATATGTAACGAGCAGTCAAACAGAAAACACCATCGTGTTCAATGTAAAAAAAAATACACATTTTTAAAATCATCACGCAGAAGCTAAACTAGATGTATTATACATAAATTCTAAAATATCTATAAGCTGTAGTTAGATTCACAACAAATCAAAAATATTAAATTATAAACGGATTAAAAAAAAATACATTTTTTACATCTAGGCCAAGACATCAATTGCAAATTGTTAAATGTAGGTGCCCTGAGCTAACAAATGATGTTAGCCTATTAACACATTGGAGACTAAACTAATTTTATGACATTGCTACGTTCAAGACGGGTGCCATGTCTAACGCGGTTTGTTCGTCCTCAACGTTGTTGCCCGATAATAATATTGCCATCTCATATAGTGAATAATAAAGACCGCGTTAAACACGGCAGTCATCTCCAATGTATTAACTCAAGTATTGGAGTTTGTATACTTTAGGGTAGAAATTTTGAGAAAAATACTAAGCACACATCACACTGGTAGGGCTTATCAAATGAATGTGGCCGAAACCGTATTAACTACCAATGTGACGTGTGCTTAAAGTGTTTTCCTCAAAAACCATATCTGAATTTAGGTTGGCTTATTTTTTTTTTGATTTCGACGACTTTTCATTTATTTATTTTCAACTTTGTCCAACTTTTCTCGTATCAGCCAATACATACATTCTGTGCGTTTCATTCTGATATTTTCAACGAGGTCTAAACATTCCAATTTGTTTGATTTCTCGGTTGCTTTTCTTGGTAACACTAAAACAAATAATTGAATTATAAATGGATTAAAAAAAAAAATTATCTCTTTTTTTTCTACACCTATATAGGTGACCATGAAGCCAATAATTTCAAGTTGTTGACTGTACGTGTTCAACTGACCCGCCGTCTACTGAAGTTTGGTGTTTTACTGTAGGATTTTTGAGGAAAATACTAAGCACACATCACACTGGTAGGGCTTATCAAATGAGTGTGGTCGAAACCGTATTAACTACCAATGTAATTAGTGCTTAAAGTATTTTCCTCAAAAATCACGTCTGGATAGGTTGACTCATTGTTTGTTTTTTTATTTCAAGGACTTCCTACACACATTGTATATGAGGGCTGCAATTTGATTTCAACTTTGCCTAATTTTCCATTACCGACTGTTACTTTTTTTGTTCATTTCATCGTAGGATATTTGGTGAAATCTAAATGTTTAAACAATTTGTTTAATTATTCTATTGTACAGAAATAAGCAACGAGTTCTTTTTTGTCAAGTAGTTTTTTGGTCCTTATTTTTAATTTTAGATTGACCAATATTTTATATAATTACTAAGCACGGCACAAATATACAATTAAAAACCTAGAATATTCAAACTTTTATGATGATACAAATTTAGATTTTTGACATTGTATATCTTATAACTCCAACCCGTTCTTTTCTCATCTTTAAAAATATTATTTATTAAATAAGTTATACAAAAATCACCTGCTTGATTATTTTCTTTGATCGTTTCTCGAGGGCAATTTTGGATTGCCAAAATACAATTGTCAGTTTTTCAAAATGATGGAGCTTATTTTCTCTGCTTCTATTATTTATTTTATCATCTAACAGTTATACTAAAAAACCCGAAACATATTTTAAATATAAACGAGGTGCTTTAAAATTTCATACATTTTAAACTTACTATGATGAATAAAACTGTACGATTTGGTCTTTATTATTTTCGTTTTCTTGTTTTAAGGTCACACATTCTTGTGGTGTATTAGCCGCCTGATCTAAAATATTGAAAAATTATCCATCAGTATACTTATTGATAATATAATTATGATTTCAGTTCTACCAGGAATTATTATTATGAGTGTACCTAATCATTATTATTTAGAATCCCGATTCCAAATAAAATCAATTTTAACATACACTGTTAAAGTCCTTCAGATCTTATAATTTAAAAAAAAAAAACAATAAATTATAAATAAACCTAAACAGACTCCTAAACTTTCAGATTTAAAATAAAATGTATAATATAACAAATTATCATTATAAAAGTCCGCCTTGTTGTATATATATAAAATAACATGTCCTGACTGAAGCTATGAGTATGAAATTTGGTCAGTAGTTTTGTTTTATGATGTAGAGACCCACAGGATTTTTCAATATAAGAAGGTAAAAATGGAAAACGTGAATTCGAAACAACACAAACTCTCCGTTAGCTAGGATCAAATTTGAAAAAATTGGCATATTGCATAATTCCGGGCGAAGCAGGATAACACAGTTAGTTGTATATAAAATAAATTATGATAGGTTGTAAAAAAACATATATCTAAAAAATACTGTTGGTTTGTATTTTATTTTCACAAAAGTTTTGTAATATTAGAATTGAACTATGCATGAAGTGAACCATTAAAAAATAATATTGGAAAACATTTGACTATAAAAATAAACTGGCATTCATTGTGTGTGGCCTACAAATCAGTGGTAACCAACCGAATCATTTGTCATGACTTACATGTAACGATCACAAAAAAAAATAATAACATTGAAATGTTAATATTTATTCATGTATGTTTAGGACTTTAACCTGCTGTTAGTTGTGCTATGATCGCAATCACATTTAGTCACACTGTGACTCAGGTAAGAAATGTACTTTGAGTATGACCAAAAATCGCGCCGCTACGGAGGGTTAAAAATTAAAATATTAAATAACACTTTTATACATAAAATAAAAAAATTCTTTAAATTTATAATGTTTTGACTTAATTTTAAAGTTTTGGCATTTTCATAGACTGAAGGCTGCAAACCTAGGATAAGGTTTTTAGTTTAGCGAAGCGAAGCGACAGGGCCAAATGAGCGAGTGCTTAACACTCGGTGAACTGCCGACTCTATTCCTATATAATACAATTCAAATTTTTAACATATAAAAAACCAAACAAATAGGTTAAACTTTATATTACACCTAACTTTCATCAAACATGAGATTAAATATTGTGTCTAGTTCGCGTAGTAATAAAGCGAAAATATTACTATAGGTCACACATGCAATGAATGCCAAAAAAAAGTACTTATATTTTTAAGTAAATTTAATGATGCTGCATTTACAACTGCTTACATTCGTTAAAAATCACGCCACGCCACTGAACCAGTCGAGTTTTGCTTAAGCCCGTTATATAACCATTCAAATCGAAATGGACTAACGGGCAAAATATGTATTACAATATAACGCTTTGAAAAATAACGTACATAGAACAAATTAATTAAAATAATATTTTAAAATTCAAATTTAATAAACACGTGACACAATACAGAAACTAGCATGATAAATAAGGTGAAATAACTAATAAGTATTGAGTAAACAAAAAGCCGTACTATTATCATTCACAAGAGTTCCTTTGGCAATAAATGATAAAAGTCACCAGTGTTCCCAGAGCGTTTAAAAAAAAAAACTAGAGAAATTTACCGCTGGCCGGGCCCTTACACTGTGATTCTACCGCAGAATAGATTATACCATCATGATAAAAATTCTTTGATAACGGTTTTATTTTTACATAATTCGGTAAATGGATTGGAAATCGGAATTTTTAGTCATTGATAGTAGTCAAAGAAAATTCACCGTAAGTTATGCAAATGACTAATTAGCTACGATTTGAACGAAATACAGTAATTTGTTTGCTTCTTGTGTCACAAGTAATTTACTTCTAAAAGGGTAATAAATTGTCAAATACATAATATGAATTCATTAACCCGGGAAAGTTTTCGAATAAATGTTGCCAGAAAAAGACTAGGGTGAGTAAAATTTTCAATAATGACATTAATAGAACAATTTTCTTGTCATTCATGTGTGACATCCTCAGTATTTCATATTTCACTGTAGTCCGCACCAAGTTCTGACAAAAATCAAAACAATTTCTCAAATAAAAAAATACACTATTAAGTTTGGGAGTTTTAATTTTTACCATATAGTAAATGAGTTTAAACATACTTAATGAGTTTAAAACAATCACTATCATCAAGTTTAACGGGCCTTTAAGGCCCAACGCTGCCATCATGAGATGATGGTTTCTAGATGGATTCGCCGTCCGGGACGGGTCGTCAGTCCGTCGCCAGTCAAAAACAATAAAAAATATCAATTATTAACATCTCCTGTCAAATTTATTGATTTGCTAAGACATTTGAAATGCATCATCCTTATTGCTAGCATAACTTTTAAGTTATAAGACTTATAAGTAGAAGCCATGCTTAACTAAAAAAATATTTTATTTTTTACTAGTTTGTTAACTTTTTAAGTATTTTTTTTACTTTCACTTTGTATAATTAAAATATGTTTTGATTTTTACAGACAATTTTGCAATGCCAAATTACATAGCTTCATTTTCTTCAATTTTCAAATTGAAGTTTACAGCTAAATTTGAACTATACTAACTTGCAAATAAGAGTTAATTTTTAAATGGGATTTAGAACAGCAATTGAATAAATTCTCTGCAAAGTCAACCTCACAAGTTGTTGGTTTCGTATTGTTCAAGTATGCATTTATTAGTTTAACAAATTGTGAGAAGTCAACCAACTTTTGAATTTATTGAGATTAAATGAAAATGCAAGAAGAATATTGTGTATAGTTGGTACAAACAGTTATTATTATTTTTACATTGTGCACCCACAAGAAGCAAAAAAAAAAAAAATCCTCACAGTAAGAAACACCGGATGAATAATAAATTTATAGAAAGCGATTATTTTCAAGCGAGTCTTCTGTGACTGATGGGCGTTCATCAACAACTCTCCTAGTTTTATGGTAAATTTTTAGATTCTTATATGTTACATTTTGATCATTAGCCCAAAATCATAACTACACTAGTATTAGTACATTTTAATTTGTTATTCTAGATCATTTGAGAACTATACATCAAGGAAGGATATATTAGCTTGTAGCCATTCAAATCCTTCGCCGCAACAATTACATCTCTCTCAACGTCTTCTCTGTTTGCTGCTGCTTCCACGCGTTTATTGTGCCAACAATTTGCAAACCACTTACTCTATCCACTTGTTAATGTTTCAGGACTTTCCTGTTTATTATTGTTATAATATGTAGGCATATGTATGGAACTACTTTTTTAATGAGTTAGTGCATCAAATACCTTTTATAGCATTAATCATTCTCACGAGTTCCTGAGTTTTAGCTTTTAATCAACAAAACACCAATACTGTTGCGAACCGTGTTGTTTATAAATCACTAATAAGAACTTAAAATTTCGGCCGAAGTAAATGTGTATAATAATATTATAATTTTGTTTATTATATATTGACCAATATCTTGTCCATACATGTAAATTGTCGAACACCTATTTTGTGTCACCATAAACGATTACTGGTAAAACCGGGTTGTTTGGGATTTACAGTTAACATGGGTCATATTTAAAAAATTCTGAATTATGCCGTTTGGTAGCATTCATTTACCTTTTTTTGTAATTTTAATTTATTCAAAATTGAGTCCCAAGTTATTATCTCTTGAGAGTTAAACGTGACATTTTTTACTATTTAATATGGTTATCCCTGGTAGTACCTATCCAAATGTCTTTTTTTTATATATAAAAAAAAAAATGACTAAGTAATTATAATTCAATTTTGACAGTTAGCTTATTATAAATAAGATAATATGTATATTTCTGTGCAAATCACTAAAATTATTATACTTAGGTAAAAGGTTTTACGTTATAGTGTCATACTTAAAATAAAACTTATTTTGAACACGTTCAAAGCAACTGACCAAAATCGAGTAAACCCCAATGATGTTTAGTAACTGGTTTTTTTGTACTGTTCAGGAGTTAGACGGTTTGCAAGGCATAGGATTGATAATTAAAACGACTACCAAATAAATAACATCATTTTTACAATAAATAAATGAATTCAATCGTTTTATAAAGAGACAACAAAAAAAACTTAAAAATCATAATATAATCAATATGGTTTAATATCTTTGTACATTCATTTACAGCATTGACCCATCAACGACGATAAACCATTGTAATCTAATATATTGTCGTCGTTGATGGGTTAAACTAAATAGCTTTGAAAAGAAACACAATACATCAATAATTACTCAATATTGAAGCACCCTTAAAAAAGTTATTGTAGGTTTGTAAATTATTTATTATATTATTATTTAATTCAACAAAAATTCTTACGCATTATGGCCCGCTTCCAAGTATGTTGTAATTATGGCCATGAAGAACTCTGCAATGTTCAATCGGTTGTCATCTATAACGTACAATACGTTTGGTTAAGAGGTTAATTTTTTATGTCTCTAGATCCACATTAATATTTGAAGTTTTAACCGCTATCATGAAATATTAAGTATGCAACTATAAGACATTTTTTTCTTTATAAAATTGTAAAACCACTCCTTCCTAGTCGCGTTAAAATCATGAAAATGTCTAAAAAGAGAGAAAAATATGTATTTTCCTTGTTCTTAAAATGTAAACCTTAACAGCTAAGAATCTATCTTATCAATAATACCCTAAAACTTATGGGTACGTAAGAAATTAAGCTAATTTCGTTAACGTTGTGCTTTGCAGTATTACCATCGGTATCGAATTTCCATACTATTAAACTACCATCTTCGTTTGGGAAATGATGTTTTGAAAGTTTTTTGAATTCGACTGTACCAAGTAAACCGTTTTTGTTATCGTCGTGTGTATTGAACTGCCATATCAAAAATCTAACTACCGCAGTAGTCAATACACTGCCAGCCTTAGAAATTATTAAAGTAATTCATATTTTAATGCCTCATTAGATTATGTGTAGTGCATAAAAGTCGAATCGTAAATTAAAATTATTAGTATTACTTTTATGTCGACATCTTTATTGTATTCTGCAGACACAACCGATAGCTCTTGCAACTCAAAAGCAGAGGTTCCTATAAAATTAAAATATTATTTTCTATCAAACCATATTCATAGTCAGAGTTAGGAAACATTTTTAAACATAAAATATAATCGATTGAATTTAAATTGTTCCATAAATAAGAAAAGACAACGAACAAAAACATTATTTGTAATTCTTTAAATAAATTATGATTTGTCTAATAGATTAATAGATTTTGATTAATAGATGACAATTAATTAAAAGTAAAATACATAACAAATAGTTTTAAACAATCGCAGCACCAAGTGTGGATTAATTTTTTGTAATAAAAATGATAGATAGGTATAATATAATTTTTTTCTCTATGCTTCATGTAGATAAAAAGTTATTTACCAACTCTGCACAGCAAAATATTGATAGGAATCGACGAGATAATATCAATAATAATAATATTTCCTTACGAATTGATTTGAAATCCAATAGCTGGTCTTCGTGGTCGTTTTTAACTATAGACAACTTTTTGAAAAACTCCTTTATTTTATCAGAGTCAATGTGATCGCCATGTGTTCTGTGATTATTATGTAAATCAATGAGGTCCTGAATCCGATCCACGTCTAGACCTCTGCCCTGAGTACAAGTATTAAAATCGTGTATGTTTAATAAAAGTGTATCTACGGCTAGAGTTTGATTTAAAACCAATGATTATGCTATGATGCGCTATAATTTACAAATATTTTTCATAGACTTGTTAAAATTCCAGCCAAACGCATGTAGCAGTAGCTCTATGTGTAAGTTGTCTAGCCTTTAACCAAACAATATCCTTACTTCTGTTTTTTCTCTCATAAAGCCCAACAAGAACTCCGAAGCGTTGATTGCAACGTCACCTGGAATTGCATTTGAAATTATTAACCTTGGCGACAATATAATAAAAAAACGCTTCGTTAACTCAATTATACTTTTGTCAAATGCGGCTGCTAAACGGTTTTTGTCGGCATCGTCTAGATTAAAAACGTCAATGACTTGTCTTACTTCATTGAAGTCAAGTAGACCATCGTGTGTGCCATTTAGGTCGTATATGTTGAACGCACCCATATAAACTTTTACTTCGTAAGACGATAAAATTGATTCCTATGTTAAAAAAAATAATAAAAAATGCAGTATAATTTTAAACTTATCGATACTTGTTACCCTTATTAGGTACCTTCCACCAGTCATCAAAGCGCTTATCGTAATTGGCCAGAAATACCAAAAGATCTTGTACTTTTTGAGCATAGGTCATACCTATAGTTAAAAAAAAAATGTCAATTGAACCAACCAAGATTGGAGGGCATTAGGTAGAAAAATACTAGAAGACATAGGTATATATATTTTTTTTTATTTAAAAGGGGAGAGGATACCATTTGATTACTACCGAAAAGTTAAAAACCTGTTCAAAGATAGTTTATTACCGTTGTTGTAATTCAAATCCGAAAAATTATTCATGCCGAAATCGTCCACCAATTTTTCGATACCTTCATTGGGAATTTTGCTAATAGGTTTTCCGTGTCCTTTGAAAAAAATAACAATCTTTTGGACTTGATCCTTATTGAGTCCGACGCTCTACATAAAGTATCCCAAATAAAACAACAATAATACTCTTAATTACCGATAGTTGTTTTGTTGCAATTGTATAAATATTATTAATGTTTTATATTAACCTGTGTCACCGTCACGAAGTACAAGGCGCAAAAAATAACAGCACTTTTGAATTGCATGATGGTTTTTTTTTTCCAACACTTGTAGTTCAGTGAGAAATAGGTCTTAGTAACTAAAGTCAGATGAATAAATTTGATTCGATTCGGAGTGCCTTGTATGTATTTGGTGCGATAGGTAAAAACAACGTACCCAGACGTAAAAATGAAAATGTTGTTTTTTATTTTATTTTATTTGCACATAATATTTCAAACAGTTGTTTTCGACCAAACGGCAAAGTTGTGAACACAATGTAGGTATGTAAGTAATTTAATGTTTTCTGGAAAAATACTGAGTATTTACTTGCGTGAAACAAAATAATACCTAATATCTTATTATTTGCTATAGACCGCACAAAAAATGGTGGACGATGAATATTATCAAATAATATTATTCGTTTATATGAACAAGAAAATGTCCGTACACTCACGAAAGACATATGGGATCCTCAATCGCACCCTTCCCCAAAATTCGAGCACTGAACTTTAGAATTACTAGACTGATTTCTTTGATCATAATATCTATAAAAATCGATGAGAAGTAAACCTAGGAAGTATTTTACAGTGCAGTAAAGCCAGACAAAATTAGGAAAACTACTATCAAAATTTAATCTTTATACAGTGAAATTTAGCTAAATTTTACGGCAAACAAGGTCGGGTAATGTTCAAATCAAAAATTTAATTTTAAAATTTTGCAAAGGATCTTATAGCATTAGGTGAGTTTAATTTGACAATAATAATAGAATGTCAGAACATTTTCGTTTTGCTTAATCACTAAGGAATCATCTGATTCGTCTGATTTGAATCGATCGCGCACCTCCCGCTTAGGCCTCTTCACAATATTATCTAGTTACAACATTTTAATAAATACATAAAAAAACAGCATAGTCCAAACCAGCACAGTAATAAATTACCAAAATGGGGTCCAGTGTCCACAGATTTACTTCGAAGCGTTTTGTCGGACTTTGCTTGGTTTAGTTTTTGCTTTGCTCGGACTGAGCTGGTTTATAATTTGCTGGTCTGGACTATGATTAGTTCAGACTATGCTCAGTATCTATGATAGAATCTTGCCATTTCCAAATTCCCATCGAATCGTTTGATTGTGATAAAATCCCCTTTTTTGTTAATAATTGCTTTGACCCAACTTTGCTAACTTCTATTGGACTGATTTATACTGTATTTAGTTTAGACTCTACTGGTTAATACTATGCTTAATTTTGATGGCATTAACTTTATGGTAAAAAAAAAACAATCTTAAGAAAAGTAAATTTCTTTTTCTTTTAAAGATAATGACCCAAATTTCTTTTTGAAAAAAATTATGTTAAAATTCAAACACACCTCAAAAAGACTCATGGGCAGAAATCGTGGCTAATAGAGTTTGAAACGTGTTTCTAATTTGTAATTGTTTGTTTTTTTTATAATTAATAAAATGTTAAAATATTATTCTATTTAAAAATGAATAAAATTTATATATTTTTTATTTTAACCATCTAATTTTTCAAATAAATTCAGACTACGCTGTTTTTTTTAACACTAAATTTAATTTAAATAAAACTTAGCTTTAAAATTAACAGTTTTCATATTAGCACTTAATGTATTAATAATTAAATATTAAGTGTACAATTATTGTGTACTAAACTAAACTTAACACTAAATAAATACTAAAAAAACCATAACTGAATCTAGAAAATATTATTCCCTCACTTTTTCCCTATAGTAAACTATTAAACTGTTCTTGAGAAAACTTATTTTCTTCAAAGGCAAAACACACCAATACTTGGAAAAATGTCTCGCAAAAATTTAAATAAACCAAATGAAACCACGGAGAAAAAAAACATCTCGCAAATAAAAATTTAAATACACCCGGAAACCGTCTAGGCAACAGTTCAAAAACACACGCAAATAAAACTGTAGAACAATTTATCACAAAAAACCGAAAAATATGGGGAAAATTTCCCATTAAAAATCGCACAAAAACCTTGGAGAACATTATCTCTTGAAAATTGAAATCTACCCGCAACTCTAAGGGAATATTTCAAAAACACACAAAAAAAAACCTTTTTTTCCCTAAAATAAAAATATAATGTTTGTTAAAACAAAGTTAAAGTAAAAAAAACGATATCAAAAAAATTTAAAAGCTTTAATTTAAAATTTTTGATTCACTCACACATAGCAATCTAGAAATTAACTGTATTTAACTAGTGTGATCTTCCCCACTTTTATTTATTTTTTTTTTTTTGGGGGAGGGGATGATTTTGTTATACTTTTTTCTTTTATTGTTATTTTTTTCCACTATGCGTTTTTAATATTTTTTAACTAATTTAAGGTAACTAAAATATATCAATTAATGTTAAAAAAGAAACTTAAGACTGTTTTTAGGTATTTTACAATTTATTGTAATAAAAAAAAATACAATAGTTTATAATCTGAGTGAATAATTTAAGTGAATACGGTTTTTTGAAATCGTAAATAGCTTATCAAAAATAACTCAATTACATTGTCTAAAGTCTTTGTTTCCAAGCAGGTAGTTAAATAAACTATTTAAATACAATTATAATAAAACTTTTAAGTTATATGACTAATAGTCGAATTAATTCAAAATTTGTATGGATATTTTACCTTTAGACATACCTAGTACTAAAGAATTCCATTTAGGAGTATCTAGCAATTATTTTAATATTTATGTGTTTAAATTCATATTTAAGTACATACGTGTTCATTTATTATTTGTGAGCAAGGCAGTTTTTTTTTATTAAAAACGACATAGACCGCAAATAAAAGAGTTCTTAAACATCTGTTGCTTATCTATAGCAAATGACAAAGCTGAATAGTTACAAGCTTGAAACTGTTTTCATTCCTCAAGTTTATTTTCGTATAGTAAGTCCTGTGGTAACTCACAAAGACAAATTATTGTAATACAATATTTCCATTACACTATAAAATTATATCGCAAGTACTATTATCAAATATTTTAAAACAGTTTTTTACATCCGAAAATAATAATTTAATACACTGTATCGAAATTTATTATTTAAAATGTTTTCGAAGATCATCATACTGTTTTTTTGGGTGGTATTGTACTTTTTGCAATGTCAAGGTACTGGCCCTAATGAAGAAACACGTGTAAGCATAACGAGAACTTATTATTTATAATTAATAGAAAAATGCTAAGATTCGTGGTTAACTATGTACATAATGTAATACATTTATTAGAAAATGTATTTAATATTTAAACTTTCTTCATTTTCGCATCGAAGTGTTTATTTTAAATGATACTTGCACTTAAAACCCAATTATTGATTACAACAATTAAAATGGCTTTAACTACTATGAAATGTATGGTATTATGCTAACAAAAATTCGCAACCCATATAAAATGCCTAGTAATTAAGTATTTTTTATTTCATTAAAGAAGGATCAGTTTAATTTGCAAATCGTTGTATACAATCTAATGACTAATTCATATTCTTAAAACAATAGCAAATAATAGAAAACATAGTCCGTGACCATTACAAGCCAAATGGTCTAAGCTACAAAGAGTTAAGGCATGTAATTGACGAAGTAACACGGAAAACGGGCGCAAAGGGAAATATCCCCAGCCGTGATCGATTGGAAAAGAGATTAGAAGGTAATAAATATTAACATAATATTCAATAAATGTGTCGATAAAATGTACAAATCTATTGAAAAGACATTTCAACAATCAAATCTATCATTTGTATAATGTATAACTTGTAAACTAGATAAATAACTGACAAAATATGAGACCTTTTTTCGATGATGTACAAAAGAAATTCAGAATCAAAAAAAAAAAAAAAATACAAATCTCACTAAGAACGTACAGTTAAATATTACATCATTGTTCTTTCGTTATAATAATTAAAAATGAAAATATTATGCTAGTGTGAAACAGTATGACTCTCCACTCCCCTTTGCTGTTAAATTTGCCTAATGTTATTTTTAGCTTCGATGCTATTGGTTTTACAATGATGTGGGCTTTTTTTTGTCTGTTTACACTTTTTTAACGCTGGACCAATTCCTTCGAGTAGCAACTCTACAAATGACAAATTTCATCTAGTTGGTACTTGGGTGGGAGAAGGGGGAGTAAAAGTTGAAAAAGTTTATTTATCACGGTTGAAAAAAAAAACCATACTAGTTTTAAGTTAGAACTTTTACTGGCTATAATTTCAACAAAAAAAAGTCCCCACAAATCAATAGTCTGAAATTTAAATTACATCTATATCCCTCAGGGGGTTGCAAGTTGTTTTTTTGGGTTTTTTAGCCGTAGTTTTAGGACCTTTAAGTCGAAAATTTGTCAGGAGTTAGAACTCATGTGTATCCATAACATATTAAACGAAAAAAAAAAATCGGGACTACAGTTTTTCTTTAATTACTGTTAAACTGTGTTTTTCGCAGATTTTGTATATTTTGACATAAACACCTTAAATCTTAAAAAAAAATTATCTCAAGATGATTTTATCACTTTTATTAATAATAACTCCTGTAGACCTGTGACCTCTCCGTCCTCTCTATGCTTTGATTATATTATGCCTCGATCCTACTGTACTAGTCCTCTCGGATAAAATCACTTTCAACATAACGCTTTGATGCTTATTTGTAAATACAGCACCTCAATTTAATACTTTCCAACTTTGCTGGTTTATACTGTGCTTGATTTGGACTGTACTGGCATGGAAATACCAACTACCGATATGCATCAAAGCGTTTTTTCGAAAGTGATTTTTATCACTTTCAGTTGTAATAATTCCTGTAAAGCTGTGACCTCCCCATGTCCACTATGCCTCGACCCAACCCCCCCCCCCACTGTACTGGCTTTTTAAATATATATTTATTGTTTTGTTCTTTCAGTCGATACATATTCAAAAGCCGAAGTTGTAAGCATCGTCCGATATATTGTAGGTGACGATAGTATGACGGTAAATAAAAAAGTACAATACTAATTACAGCTTAAAGGTTAGTTGTTTTTAAGAGGGATTTTTAAATTTCAATTATTCTGTGTAAAAATGGTTTAATTTATTCTTGTAAGTATAACAAGTACTTAATATTTATGATTATTAAAAAATCTGAGATTTTTGCTGTTATGTGCAAAATGTATGAATTGAATGTATGTAATGAATTACTGTTTAGAAAAACATTTTTTTTTTTTGCTAAAAAATTTTTTAATTGTAAATTTGAATACACATTTTAACGTCTGTTCTTATTCTGATAACAACAGGAATTGGTAAGAGAATTATTCGAAAAAAATCAATATCCATCTAGGATAAACTTTGTACATTTAGGTTATATGGTTCAAAGTGTAAGAATGGCAAAGGGTATGGATACACCCACTGATAATACTGCCCAATTGAAAATGGATATAATAAACAATAGAAGTAATAAACAATAGAAAAATATTCAATAAATATGTTGAGAAAATATTCAAAAACTATTAAAAAGACATTTTAAAAACAAATTATTAATTGTACAACTATAAAATATGATATGATTTTTTTATAAAAATGAAATGTATTATGTAATTTTACATTATTATTTTGCAACTACAATAATCTTCTGCAAATAGATGACATTTTCTCAAAATATTTGCTGTTGAATTAGCCTGATTCGTTTGATTAAAAAATGTATAATACTTTCAGAACGCATGTTTCATACTATGGACGAATCTGATATCATTGACTTCATTATCAATAATTTAAATTTTTGATTATATTATTAACTGTTATCAAATGAATGCATGTATGTACTAAGTAATATGTCACATAAAAATGTAGTTTTGATTGATTAATAAATCATTTTGCTCTTACATTTACGTTAGTATTTATTTTATTACATGTAAAATATTAGCTTTTGTAAACCGTAAAAGCTATTATAAAACCTACAGTGCAAACTGTGTTGTTGATGTCCTGCATTATCTGTTAACAAAACCCCTCCAAAAAAAAGATAATTATTGGGTAATTTTTTATAGGAATAGAGTTCCAGGCAGCAGTCAGTATTAGAAATGTTAAACTGTTAGTTGGGTTTTCGATGTCATCACAAATTTTAAGTTAAATACTTAAAGTTAAATTTGTATCAATAATGTTGCTAAAAGTTTCCCAGTTTGTGTTTTTATTTGTTGAAGTTACCGGATTGGTGCGGATTGGAGGATTGGTATTTAAAGCAAGAAGGACCGGAGAGTGATCAGAACAAGGGTCGAATATATTTTTAATTGATTTTTTAATGTTACTTGGCATGTTAGAAACAAAAATGTCCAGGATATCAGGAAATTTCTTGTTTGATGTTGGCCAGTAAGTTGAGCAGTGAGGAGTAATTGAGTATTTTTAGGCATGGATTCTTGGTTTAAACACATGCCTTTAGAGTTATGGAGTGACAATCCCAGTTAGTATTTTTTGCATTTATAACTTTCCGTGAGAACACAGCTGAACGACTCGTATTGGACTATTAAATAAAAACCAGACTTCAAGTTATTATAATTTATCCGACAGCATCGAGCACGCTGAACTGAATTGTTAAGTTTCCAGGCACTGCGTATAAGCTTTTCAAGGAACCGCGTCTAGATCCAATTATTCTATTTATCCAACAGCATTAGTATACGCTCAATATAATTGTTGAGTACCAAAGGCTGCGTTTTTAAGCTCCCTTGGGTGACGTATTTAAATTAGCTCTTATCGGACTGTTTGAAATAAAAACGAGAAATATTATGTAGATAAAAAAAAAATAATTAAAGACAAATTTGTTTGTGTTGTCGAAACAAGTACATATACACTGAGATGAGTAAAAACAAAAAAAAAATTGTGAAAAATTGAGATCACATTGTATAAAAACAATATGAAAAAAAACATTCAGTTATTAAATAAACCCAGTGGGATATTGACTGGTTCATGATACAAGAATCACCCTGTATGGTTAAAGACTGGACGACTGTGGGTTTATTACAACAGGTTATTAAGGGGAGCGTTGACGCTTTCGTTCAGCGCTAATGAGTGGAGCTATGGTGTACGTCATTTTCTAGTTCTCTGATTGGTCTACTCAGTATATAAGTATTTTAATTTTATTTTACGTTATTTGTATGTAACATCTTATAGTCTAAGCAAGTATATCGTGTGCATACAATTATGAAATATCAATGAATCATATTACATTTATTAAATAAAATAATATAGAATGTTTACACAGTGGTAACAGCTTATAGTAGTTTAATTCTTCCCCCAATTGAAGAATTAAATTTTTCAAGTATTATTATTAACAAAGAGAATATTTGTAAATAACAAATGCTCTAGGCATGTCAGATTTTTTTTCATTAGTATTTTTCAAAAATCGTGTAAGCGATTTTTTTATTAATATATTCTAAAAATTATGGCAAATTATTTTAGTCTACGTGTACATGTATAAAGTTATAAAATAAAAAGCCACGTTGGCACATTTTGATATCAAGTGGTCAATACATATTTGTCATAATAAGAAAGGCAGATATACACAATATTATGTTAATTAATCCAGCTAATAAATGAGTATTTCGATGGAAGTACAATTTTAAATAACCCTTATTGCAACCTTATCCTCTTCGCCGTATGCGAAGCCCAAATTGTAGAACCAATTGTTTAAAATTTCATCAACGTAACAATCGATTTCGTTTACTATATATTCCACCATAGTCGTTTCCTGGGTTATAATCTGGTTTATCTTTTTGCACTTAAAATCTTCATACAAATTCGACCTAGTCCATTCTGCGTGTTTTGGAATATCGCAATGCTGGTAGGTATAGTTGTACACGTTTTCCCTGTATACATCCGACATAAATTTGCTTATGGATTTTATTTCCAGATCGATCACGTTCACGTCGATAGCGTGTGCGGACAATTTTGATGACGTTTCCGGTCCTACAGTTGAAGTATACTGGGTCAATCTCTCGGTGGCGATCATAACACTATGTTTAAATTTTGATTGTGGAACTAGCGAAAACATGAAGAACAACGCGTCTTTCATGCATTTAAACCTCGATGACACGCTGTGGAGTTTGATCAGAAGCAAACGAAAACAATCGTAATACTTTTGATGTGAGGGGTCGTCATATTTTTCTTTTCCGCATACCCATATAAAACGTTGAATGAGAGACTTGTACATATAAATTATCTCGCTGTACTTACACATGAGCAATCTCCAGATCTCCTTGTATCTTTCTAGTACGTTGGATTCGTCGACCGGATTCCGGTTCGATGATATGGCTTCGAGTATTACTGACGTGGCATCCGAGATATCATTGTCATGTTTTAATCGAATTTTAACATTGTGCATGCCATCCCGCCATCCCGAATGACGCACCAAAATGTTTAATATATTAGCTAGTTCCGATTTTTGTAATTGGTGTGTATCATCTGGCACAACGCTTGTAAAACAAAATAAAGCAACCCAAACTAGTATTGAAAACGACGTTTGCGAATGCATTGTCATAGCGACTAATTAACAAACACGGCAGCACGACACAGTGTTAACAATTCTAATGAAATGTTTAATAATTACATTTTTATTTAAGCACACACCATATTGTTCGCATCGGTCTTTTGATTTATACGCTACGTCTCGCTTATTTATTAATTTAAACGAATTTTTAGTTGACACGGTGACAGCGGCATGAATCCGTAAATTTATATGTTTTCAATATTTTTTATGTATTAATAAAGTGGGTTACAAGGTATAAACAATACTAAAGAGCAAATCCCCATGGGCTAAGTCACTATCTCGCTTCTGTAACCATTTAGTATTAATAGATACAACATACTAGTATTGTAACAACACAGAATTAAAATTACAATAAATGAATAATGTTTACAAAGTGGTAACACCTTATAATAGTTTGATTTTTCCCTCAATAGAATAATTTTAATACTAGAGTCTTAAATGACAATGAGAATATTTATAAACAACAAACGCTAGTGGTGTATCATATTTTTTTTTTTAATATGAGAGTCTTATACTTACTAATAATCTCACCGTACTTACACTTGACCAAAGTTCAGATTTCCTTGTATCTTTCTAGGACGCTGGATTCGTCGACTTCCTTGCTCTCAATTCTACCACTGAACTTTGGAATCACTAAACGGATTTCTTTGATCATAAAATTCGAAGAAAAGTTTACATACGAAGGTACTTTGTCAGTCAAAATAAGGAACACTACTATCAATTTTATCTTACATAAACTGTGCTGGATTCTTATTATTTCCTGATTTCCATCGAATCGTTTGATTTCAATAAAATCAGTAAAATCATAAATTATCCCAGCATAGTATAAAACCGAGCACAGTCCAAACCAGCACAGTAAGAAATTACCAAATTGGGGGCCAGTATTTACAAATTCGCATGGAAGCGTTTTGTTGATTGTAATTTTATTTCTACCTCTAAGTCACAGGTCTTATTATTTTGGTTTATAAACGAGCTACATGATTAAATACTGGTTCCCTGTTTCAAGAACCTTACATCATATGCCAAATTATATAGTTTAGACATCATTCATTATTTAGTTTACAACTAGTTTAGGTATATTTTCAGTTTTTCTAGACCTGGGATTATATTTTTGCATATAATATTATTATATATATATGATACCCAAAAAATAATAATTATTCTCTAACTATTGAACCATGCGATTTGCTGTAAGAAACAGATGTCTAAGAACGTTTTTTATTTGCGTTGTCTGGGATTCTTAATACACGCACTACTGTTATTTTTTTATGTACTTACCACATTTGAAACTGTTTACTCATGTGCAAAATATATGCATCAATTGTTAATGTTAATCGATAATGCACCATTTAAAAAATATTTCGTAGAATTTCACTTTACAATTGGCCAAACCAAAAAAACGTTCGAAATGACGTTGTTTTCTTTCACATATATTTTTTACGCCAATTTTTAAAAAAACATGTTTTCGAAACAAATTTTGCCTCTTAATTCAATGATTACACACAAATGGTTTATAATTACAAAAAAACATAGCATAAATTTGTAAATTTTAATACTATTAAATGTTTTTGTAAGATGTTCGGTTAAAATAAATTCCGTTTAGGAGTCTAGCAATTTATTATATAATACGTGTTGATTGTTCAACAGTGCACACGTGATCATTTGATATGTCTAAATATTAGGTACGGCCGTTTTTTTTTTAAATATTGTTTTCTCAAGTCGTTACATTTTAAAATGACGTTACCTACACATTGTGGGACACTTGTATACACAAAAAATTATGCATAGATTGTCGAAATCGAAAAAAACCAACAATTTTACATATATTTCAACATAACGTAAACATAAAATTACGGCATTCTATACGTTTTTAAAATTGTTCGAAATATAAATGGAATATTTTTAAGACGTAGTACTACCAATAATCCAAAATCATAAAAAAAACCTTCCCTAGATAAGGTGGATCCTTTTTCGTTATTCCAAATTTTTAGCTGAAGCTTTAAGGATTAAGTGTTGAAAATTAGACCGTAGGTAAATCTAGAGGAATCTATTCATAAGTTTCTTTATTTTCCAATGTAAGTACAGTACTAATTGTGTTTCGCGTCCTGCATTATCTGTTATCTTATATATCAATATATCTAATGAAATATCGGTTTAGTACAGAAAGTGAGAAATTTAAAAATAGGCGTTGTAAACAGAACCCGGAGAAATGAGGGAACCTTAGTACACTCGTTGTAGTCCATTGGTTAATTTATAGTTATAATAATACATTGTACACAATATATTCAAAATAAACTATATTTAACAGCTGAAACATACTGAAATAAAGTTTTATTTTGAAGCAAAATATGT